AATAAAAACCAAGTAAAAAAAATTTAATCGTGTCACTCACATTATAAATTACTAATATTTAAGACAGGCAAATTATATAAAAACAGGAGTGTTTTAATTTGTCAAGTACTATAAAAACTACAACAATTTATGAATATCATTCATGAAATGTAACATTTCAATCACTAGACAACATATTTTTATTTAAGTTTCAAATAACAACTACAAAAATTAAAAATATAAAATATCTAATTAATTACAATAAGTATTCAGTAAATAAGATTTTTAGAAGGGTACATAAATTATTGTCAGATAGTACATAGATCTTAGATAACATATTTAATTTCAAAATTGAAATACATTAATTAATCTATTGGAAAATTAAATTTTAGGTTTTACTCATGGATAATGGCAAATGAAACAAATTAACATATCCTGGCATAACACAAATAATCCTGAACAGACACCAACGAAATTTCTTTGAGCTTGAAATAACTGAAWAACTGAATGTCTGAATTTGCATATTTGTATACAACATTAACATTTGTACACACTATAAATTCAAAATTTATTAAAATTAAAATGGATTAATTTAATTAACTATCTGAATATATAAATATAACATTATCACCATAAATTTAAATAGTATTAGTGTAAATGAAAACAGTTTATACAAAAACAAAATAAATAAATAAATGAGAATTAATCTTTCTTTTTAGAAGAATTGGAAATTTTTTCTTTCAGTTGAAGTATACTTTCACGCTGTTCATGAGGCAACATTGCAATCTGTGCATCAGTTAACTTTAATACTTGCATTATCAAAGCAGCCTAAAAAGAAAAAAAATCAATTTTATTTGGCTTATATTATATTTGGATCAATTAAAATACCTTTTCTGAATCAGATGTTTTAACTATTTGATTAGATGCTTGTTGAGCTTGAGGTTGAGAGRACTGGACAGTTCTTGGAGAAACTTTTTGGTCTGGTCCTACTTGTTGATGTACAATCATTGGTGGTGGCATTGTCATAAAATTATTATTAGCTCTAGGATCTCTAAACATATCTCCAAATGATCGATTATCTGAATCCATAGGTGATGTCCGAGGATAATCTCTAGAAGCCCTTAAATAACATAACATTGTTAAGAATAATTAGTTACTAGAATATATATAGTTTTAATATTATTTACATAAATGACTGAGGAGGTTCAGTATTGGACAATAATGGAGGCGGTGGTGGGTGGAACGGCATTTGATTTGGTGGTGGCTGTCTTAAATCTTGGCTTGTGCTTTGCCCATGATACAGTATATTGTTATGTTGCCAATCTATATTATCTAAAAAAGTTCAAGTAATTCTAAAATTATTTATGTAA